GCAAGTAAACTAGAGTGTTGTCAATTTAATGATTTCTTGTAGAAACTAGTTGTATATGTATATCTCAGAGTAAGGTTTGCAATTAATATCCAATGTGTGGTTGTTATCAGTTTGATGTCAGTGTATATATTTACTCTTGTAATCAGAGGTATCATCAGAGTAATCATCACGAACTACTGGGTATGCAGGTATGAGTAAATATCCCAGTAATGTTGTTTAAGGGAGTGATAATAAATAGTGACGATGTTGATGAGTCTGATGCTCTTGTTGTTGACGATGATATATGCATCACATCGTCAATATTCATTTACACTAACGTTCCATACTTAATATCTTTTTAACACTTAGAATGTTTTTATATTTAATTAAAATTTCACAGAGTAAATCAAATTAACTGAAGCTTAAATACTTTACTGATTCTATTAAATACTCTAGTAAATAAAATTTTACTAAATGAACAACAGGATACGTACGTGTTGAGTTAATACTCAAATACACACTGATTTACTTACATACCTTGCCAACTGTAATATAAAGTAATATTATTAAATAGTAACACTAACTAAATAATAGTATTTATACTAACTATAAATAGGTTATATAAACTTAAACTTACTTAATTGTTATGCCCTACACCACTATAGTGGGAAAGTAATAGTGGGTTTGTGCTAATGTCTTATATCTTTTGACTTGGAATCACTTATCGTGTCAATTTTCATCCATCAAAGTGAAACGACATGATTTTATTGGTTGTCAAGAACCTATTTAATATCTAGACAAAAATAAATCTTAAATCATTTTTTCTTAATTTAAAGATATCGCTTCATTATTGGCCAAATTGGACTAAGGACAAAATAATAGTTTCAAAGTAAGAACTACTTCTGAAAATTAGTTTATTGTAAAGTGGATCACTTAGTCTGACATGACCGACTTTCCTTTTTTGTTTTCTTGTTGGTTTAGTTCATTTGTTTTCAGTGGAGAAAAACATTTTCGACCTGATGGATGGTTGGTCATAAAAATATAGTTACTTTGATTGACATGTTCTAAAAAAATTTAAGTTTCTGTTTATTTCTATGATTACAGTGATCATCATAACAAATGACGAGTAAATGGGTATTATGAAAAATTTACTCTATTTAATATATATTTTCTCTTTTTACCCCGTAAATCTGGGTACGACCTAAAGCAAAACAATTAAACATACAGTATTACTTTTTAACCCACACTGTGTCCTTGCTCACTAAACTTTGACAATTAATTACAGTTTTCAATAGAATTAAATGTGAACACACAATTCTAAATGGTTCTTTTGTGTGAGTGTATCTATAAACCCTTGAATGACGTTGACTATGTGTTCCCTGTTATTAGCACCTTTTCAAATAAAATGTTTTAAATAACACAAATATATACAAAACATGTACATATTTCTAACAAAGAATCCTTTAGCACTAGTATAAAGGATCCCTATTTTTATACATGAACAACTTAATATTTTAAATAACAAAACAAATAGAAAATTAAAAAAGAAAACTAGTTTCCTTTTCAATAAACAACTATAAAAAAGCTTAACATTTTTCAATTAAGAGGATTTTCCAGGAAAATCAATAGAAAACTTTGATTACACTTAAATACGTAAAAGTGGTTGTGTGCAAATTTTACCACACAAAATCCCCTTTACAATAAAAATCTTAGGGATATTTCTATTTACTATGAAAATTAAATCACTTTTAGCAAAACAACAACATCAAACAAAATAATATACATATAAAACACCTAATTTCCTTAAACATCATTGTCATCATCTTCATCAGCGTTGACAAAGACTTGTTTGACATTGTTAGTTTGTGTATTCTGTTTGTTGTAAAGTAAAATTAAATGTTTTATTACCTTTATTCGAAAACGGAAAACAAAAGTGTTCTTTAGAGTAAAAAAGATGTCAAGAACATTTAAATATTTTGTATGTAAGTGCTTGTATGAGCTTATTTAAACATTGTTTTAAACCCTTTTTGTTGCTGTTTCTATGTGAAAAAGGCTTGTTAGTTGTCGTTTTCATCAATAGCTTTGTTTTGTTTATTCCTTTGAAGTTTGTCATATTTTATTTTATACATACATAGATATGTATTCATGTAAGTATGTATATTTTATTTGAATTTACTATAAGAAATTTTGTAATGTATTTAATTTAAGGATAACTTAACTTAAGGATAACTGTTGTGTAATTTATAATTTTAATTTCATCAAACATTTTCTTGACAAACTAACATCACATGCCAAATATGTTGCTTTATAGGTTCCATAACACCTATGGTATATTTTCGGGAAATATTTGATTAAGTTCTAGTTCAGTTCTAGTTCAGTTCTAGTTCAGTTCTAGTTCAGTTCTAGTTCAGTTCTAGTTCAGTTCTAGTTCAGTTCTAGTTCAGTTCTAGTTCAGTTCTAGTTCAGTTCTAGTTCAGTTCTAGTTCAGTTCTAGTTCAGTTCTAGTTCAGTTCTAGTTCAGTTCTAGTTCTAGTTCAGTTCTAGTTCAGTTCTAGTTCAGTTCTAGTTCAGTTCTAGTTCAGTTCTAGTTCAGTTCTAGTTCAGTTCTAGTTCAGTTCTAGTTCAGTTCTAGTTCAGTTCTAGTTCAGTTCTAGTTCAGTTCTAGTTCAGTTCTAGTTCAGTTCTAGTTCAGTTCTAGTTCAGTTCTAGTTCAGTTCTAGTTCAGTTCTAGTTCAGTTCTAGTTCAGTTCTAGTTCAGTTCTAGTTCAGTTCTAGTTCAGTTCTAGTTCAGTTCTAGTTCAGTTCTAGTTCAGTTCTAGTTCAGTTCTAGTTCAGTTCTAGTTCAGTTCTAGTTCAGTTCTAGTTCAGTTCTAGTTCAGTTCTAGTTCAGTTCTAGTTCAGTTCTAGTTCAGTTCTAGTTCAGTTCTAGTTCAGTTCTAGTTCAGTTCTAGTTCAGTTCTAGTTCAGTTCTAGTTCAGTTCTAGTTCAGTTCTAGTTCAGTTCTAGTTCAGTTCTAGTTCAGTTCTAGTTCAGTTCTAGTTCAGTTCTAGTTCAGTTCTAGTTCAGTTCTAGTTCAGTTCTAGTTCAGTTCTAGTTCAGTTCTAGTTCAGTTCTAGTTCAGTTCAGTTTAGTTCAGTTCTAGTTCAGTTCTAGTTCAGTTCTAGTTCAGTTCTAGTTCAGTTCTAGTTCAGTTCTAGTTCAGTTCTAGTTCAGTTCTAGTTCAGTTCTAGTTCAGTTCTAGTTCAGTTCTAGTTCAGTTCTAGTTCAGTTCTAGTTCAGTTCTAGTTCAGTTCTAGTTCAGTTCTAGTTCAGTTCTAGTTCAGTTCTAGTTCAGTTCTAGTTCAGTTCTAGTTCAGTTCTAGTTCAGTTCTAGTTCAGTTCTAGTTCAGTTCTAGTTCAGTTCTAGTTCAGTTCTAGTTCAGTTCTAGTTCAGTTCTAGTTCAGTTCTAGTTCAGTTCTAGTTCAGTTCTAGTTCAGTTCTAGTTCAGTTCTAGTTCAGTTCTAGTTCAGTTCTAGTTCAGTTCTAGTTCAGTTCTAGTTCAGTTCTAGTTCAGTTCTAGTTCAGTTCTAGTTCAGTTCTAGTTCAGTTCTAGTTCAGTTCTAGTTCAGTTCTAGTTCAGTTCTAGTTCAGTTCTAGTTCAGTTCTAGTTCAGTTCTAGTTCAGTTCAGTTCTAGTTCAGTTCTAGTTCAGTTCTAGTTCAGTTCTAGTTCAGTTCTAGTTCAGTTCTAGTTCAGTTCTAGTTCAGTTCTAGTTCAGTTCTAGTTCAGTTCAGTTCAGTTCAGTTCTAGTTCAGTTCTAGTTCAGTTCTAGTTCAGTTCTAGTTCAGTTCTAGTTCAGTTCTAGTTCAGTTCTAGTTCAGTTCTAGTTCAGTTCTAGTTCAGTTCTAGTTCAGTTCTAGTTCAGTTCTAGTTCAGTTCTAGTTCAGTTCTAGTTCAGTTCTAGTTCAGTTCTAGTTCAGTTTAGTTGTAGTTCAGTTGTAGTTCAGTTGTAGTTCAGTTCTAGTTCAGTTCTAGTTTAGTTCTAGTTCAGTTCTAGTTCAGTTCTAGTTCAGTTCTAGTTCAGTTCTAGTTCAGTTCTAGTTCAGTTCTAGTTCAGTTCTAGTTCAGTTCTAGTTCAGTTCTAGTTCAGTTCTAGTTCAGTTCTAGTTCAGTTCTAGTTCAGTTCTAGTTCAGTTCTAGTTCAGTTCTAGTTCAGTTCTAGTTCAGTTCTAATTCAGTTCTAGCTCACTTCAGGTTTAGTTCAGTTCAGTTCTGATGTGGACTGATGGTGCTTACTTTCAGTGCAACATTTTTACTTGATCTTTGACAAGTTTTTGAATATTTTCATTCATTAGACAACCGCTTATAAATATCTATATACCCTGGTTGGCTTGTTAGCTTACCTGTCAAGAGGTTGTGGGTTTGATGCCGACTAGTGTAAGGTACTATGTAGTATAATTCTATATTGCTGTTTGTAGTTGGATGCTAATTATTAACTTATTTTCAATTTAAACATTTTATTTTAAAAATTCAATTTGTTAGACACAATTATACGTTTGTAAAATTTAAATATCAAAGCTTATCTTTGGGCTATAAATAAAATTGGATTGTTAATTTTTAAAGTGTCAAACCTATTGGAATTTTTATATAATTCTGGAATTGACAATGTTTGTGCAAAAAAAAATTGTTAATTTAATTTTTACTATATTGGTTATAGTTCTTTATAATTTCATAAACTTTGTAAGATTTTAAGTCTTTAAACTTTGAAGATATAAATTATTTTTGGACAATTTGTCACAATTTATTTTACAAAGGCTTTTTTGTGAAAAGCAACAACAATAAGAAATATCTATTTGCATATTTATAAGAATACACAAATGTTTAGAATATAATATAGATTATTCCTTATTTATTGTAAATCTTTTCCAACAGCAACCACTTAATACATAACCATCAATATCATCTTAGTCTTAATATATATAACTTTTAACATATTTTACTTTTTATATATTTTAATAAATATTTCCTTTTAATCTTTACAGCGCGATGTTATTAACTTGGAACCAACTAGAGATGATGTTGTAAGCTGCGTATCAAAGGGCAAAAGTCAGGTAATTTTAATAGAACACACTTAAAACCCACAAAGTATATCTAAAATATAGATGAAATCTTATCATTAAGAGGCCATATACATAAGTAAATATTAAAAGATAGTAGCAAATCCTTAAAGAAAAATCAATGTAAATCCTGAAAAAAACAACTATAAATAAAAATTGCAAGTGTAGTAAAATAAGCCGATTATATTAAACTTATATATACTATTTAGAACAAGGTATTCATTCTAACCCTATAATAGAAACGTTAAAGAATTATAATAGTAGATCAATGGGTTATTGCAAGTATAGAACAGGCATATATACAGTATGAAATGTATAAATGAGATTACTATACCATTTATTGTAGGTTTTATTTTAAAGTAGATTTTATAGAAAGAAATAAAATTCTTTTAAAAATAAAAAAATAGAAATAAACCTGCTTAAATTCCACGTACGGTTTGATATAAAATGCAACTGAGGCTTGCATTATATTTTTGAACAGACAAATGTATCTTTTGAATGTGTGTGTGTGTTTTATATAAATATGTATGTTCATAAGTATATATGTATGAACATACTTAGATTTATGTTTTATGCTTGGAATTATATTGTTGAGCATAAGTGCAGTGTATGACAAGTGTAACTGGATATAATTATCTTTAGAAAATCCTACTTATAACATACATATACACCAACTTTTCCTGATGAGGTCCATCAATGAGGACTTGTTTAAGTTTAAAATTTTATGTTTGAATATGAAACCTTTTACTAGCGCATCAACGATATGATTACTAATAAAGTTTTCTGTTTTTTTCTGCAAATCTTACCCACAATTCAACAAAGACACTTATTTACTAATAAAATGTTGAAGAAAAAAAAAAAAAAATAGTAAAAACTGTCATTGCCATTCATATAGAAACACATTCAACCTAAAAAGCTTGTATATTCAATTTTAAAATCTTTTACTTTTTCAATTTATTGGTGGCTTAACTTTGTCATATATTTGCTGCTTTTTTTGTTAAATTTTGTGTTTGTACGAGGATTCTCTAGAGTTATTTCCAAATGTTTTATATTAATATAAAAGCAAGACAAGCAATTGTACAGGAAGATGTCTAAAACTTTCATGTTAAGAAATTTTCAGTTTTTGAAAATCGGAAATCGTTTTTATTTTTCCAGTAAAGCTAATTTTTTGCTACAAATTTTTTGATCTTAATGGTAAAAAGTCTATATGAAAATAGAAATTATCAATGAATTTACTATAACTTTACCTGAATTTCTTCGAGTAAGATACCTTTTGGCTAAACCTGCGTAATTTTTTTTATTACAAAACTTTACATTCTTTCCTATTTATATTGTAAGCAATAATCACATTGGCAAAGTCATCATAATACAAATATACAACAACATACAAACATATATAATATTATAGAAATCTGAACACAATCAAATGTACGGATGCATGTATGTAAGTATGTTTGTATGTATGTATAGTGCGGAAGTATTATGTAGCAGAGATGGAAAATATAGAGCTATTGTATATATAAGTAGTCCATAGACTAGTTATTATATTAGCTTACATAATAGGCAATAATCTAGTCAATAGATCAGCCAAACTAGTCATAAGCTAGGCCATAGGTTAGTCGATGAACTACTATTCCATAGGTTAGGCATTAGACTAGTAAAGAGACCAGTCCCTAGGCTATATAGTAGACCAATATATAACCAAGACAATAGACTACCAGTGGACTAGTCAATATAATATTCAAAAGATTAATTCGTATAATTTTCAATGGAATGGTCCATGTGATAAACAATAAACTAGTCTATAGACTAGATCGTAGGCTGGTCAATAGACTTATCAATATTCAAGTCCACAAACTAGTCAATAGACTAATCCATATATTAGAAAACTGACTATTATGTAGTATAGTTAACTGACTATACTGTTCCATAGACTAGTCTATAGACTGATCAATAGACTAGTTCAACTAGTTCATAGACTATTCAATCGATTTGTTCTTAGACTAGTCAACAGACTATTCAATATATAGTCCATAGAAAAGTCAATAGACTATTCCATAGATTAGTTAGCTATTCCATATAATAGTCAATAGACTAGTCCGTAGACTGCTCAATAGATATATCAATATACTAGTTTAAAAACTAGTCAATAGACTGTTCCATAAACTATTCCACAGACTAGTAAATGGAATGGACTATAGACTAGTCAATAGAAAAAAATATAGACTAATCAATAGACTAATTTATAGACTGTTCCATAAACTAGTCAATAGACTGTTTCATAAACTATTCCACAGACTAGTAAATGGAATGGACTATAGACTAGTCAATAGAATAGAATATAGACTAGTCAATAGACTATTTCATAGACAGTTCCATAGACTAGTCAATAGAATGGAATAGAGACTAGTCAATAGAATAGAATATAGACTAGTCGATAGACTGTTTCATAGACAATTCCATAGACTATTCAATAGAATGGACTATAGACAAGTCAATAGAATAGAATGAAGACTAGTCAATAGAATAAAGGCAGTTCTATAGACTAGTCAATAGACTATTCCATGGGCTGCTAATAGACTTATTAATATACGAGCTTCCAAACTAGGCAATAGACTAATCCATATAATAATCTAGATAATAGATTAATCGACTGACTAGTCTATAGAATAGTCAATAGACTTGACCAATGGCTACTATTTTGGCTGTTTCACAGACCACTCTATTTGACGGTTAATAGACTATTCAATGGATTGATCCTTAAATTAGTCAACAGACTAGTTAATAGACTTGTCTGTGAACCATTCCATAGACTATTTCATAGACTACTCTATAGATTAAGATGACAATGAACAAGTCAATATAATTGTCAATAGATTTGATTTTAGAATAGTCATAGGTCTCATCGAAAGGCTAGGCAACAGATTATTCTATAATCTAGTCAACAGTCTAATAAAATAATTTACTAATTCTAATCCCTAAAAAATACTCGTTTTGGAAAGATGAGTATTATTTCTAAATATTATTTTTCCATTCCTGTTATAGAATTTTTTCTTTAAAAAAATCTAGTTACATTAATAGACTCAAACAGCTGAGGTTTACATTTTTCTTAAATTTTCCTTATAAGTGAATACAATACTTACAAACACACATACATACATACCTAAATACGAACAAATCCATGGTCTCATATAGAAAAAAAGTGCACTTTATAGCTTTGTAAGCAATATTGCATTGCTTTATCGGTGCGTATGAGTAATGTTAAAATCCAGGTTCTCTGCCACATTATTACTCATACGTATGAGTGTAACAGTTTAGTTGCATTTAAATTAGGATGGTTCGTGACAATATTTTTGTATTTAATATTACTCGTAATATATTATCATGGAAAGGGCACTGAAATTGATTCCAATGTTAGGAATTGAATTTAAATGGAAACAATTTGATTTGATTTGCTATTTTCTTAAATTTTCTAAAAAGAACATATTTATAAAAACAACCACCCTAATACATACAATGCAGCAACCTACTTGTAAAAGAAATACACAATTTTTTTCCTCCTATTATTTTCTTCATTGTTGCGCGATTGATTTTCTGCAACATTTTTATAAATTGTACTACATACGTTTGTCAGTAGAATGCGTGCGTGTTTTGTATTCTTTTATACTTCTAACACACTCACATTTTTCTTCTAGAAAATCTTCTTTATTTTCTATTATAGGTTATATATATGGTTTATTTTTGTAGTAATTTGAAAAAAAAAAGAATAAAAAAATGAAAAGAATTGAAAACGAATTGTATTGATAAACATTTGAGACATATTAGAGAAAGCAATTTCTGCTTATCTCTCATTTTTACTTAAGATTTTTTTTCTTCAAACGAACATACATACAAACTGCTTACTAAATTGCTTAGTAGCAAAGAAAGTGGTATATTGCAGTTACTAGCTGAAGTTAAATTGCATCATGTTGTGAAAAATAAATAAGAAATTTGATATAAAATTGATTTGTATTCGTACTCAAATAATAAATACTTAAGACATTTCTTCCAGCACGTTTCTTATTAAATGTTAAGATTTCATTTGTTTATACATGCATATGTGCATATGTATGTATTCCTTTTATAATAACAATTGAAATTAGATTATTCTGTAACTGTTATAAATTAAGCGAAATAAATTTAATAGTGTACTATTAAGTAGCAGTAATGTATTAAATAATATATTTAAATAAGTAAGCTCATAACTATCTTCTTGTTTGCAATTTTAATAAATCATACGTCAAAATATTATTTAAATATCGTGTACTTTTTATCTAATATATGTATCCTTTATATCATTTTAGGTTTTCGATTGTAAAAACCACATACGTGTCATACAGAGGATGCAAGGCAACAGGCTTTATGTGTGTGGTACAAATGCTCACAATCCCAAGGATTATGTCATTTATGTAAGTACAAACTCTATACATAAAATAAACAAGAACGGCTGATAAAGTTCTAGTTCAGTTCTAGTTCAGTTCTAGTTCAGTTCTAGTTCAGTTCTAGTTCGTTCTAGTTCAGTTTCTAGTTCAGTTCTAGTTCAGTTCTAGTTCAGTTCTAGTTCAGTTCTAGTTCAGTTCTAGTTCAGTTCTAGTTCAGTTCTAGTTCAGTTCTAGTTCTGTTCTAGTTCAGTTCTAGTTCAGTTCTAGTTCTAGTTCAGTTCTAGTTCTAGTTCAGTTCTAGTTCAGTTCTAGTTCAGTTCTAGTTCAGTTCTAGTTCAGTTCTAGTTCAGTTCTAGTTCAGTTCTAGTTCGTTCTAGTTCAGTTCTAGTTCAGTTCTAGTTCAGTTCTAGTTCAGTTCTAGTTCAGTTCTAGTTCAGTTCTAGTTCAGTTCTAGTTCAGTTCTAGTTCAGTTCTAGTTCAGTTCTAGTTCAGTTCTAGTTCAGTTCTAGTTCAGTTCTAGTTCAGTTCTAGTTCAGTTCTAGTTCAGTTCTAGTTCAGTTCTAGTTCAGTTCTAGTTCAGTTCTAGTTCAGTTCTAGTTCAGTTCTAGTTCAGTTCTAGTTTTTCTAGTTCAGTTCTAGTTCAGTTCTAGTTCAGTTCTAGTTCAGTTCTAGTTCAGTTCTAGTTCGTTCTAGTTCTGTTCTAGTTCAGTTCTAGTTCAGTTCTAGTTCAGTTCTAGTTCAGTTCTAGTTCCAGTTCTAGTTCAGTTTCTAGTTCAGTTCTAGTTCAGTTCTAGTTCAGTTCTAGTTCAGTTCTAGTTCAGTTCTAGTTCATGTTCTAGTTCAGTTCTAGTCAGTTTCTTAGTTCAGTTCTAGTTCAGTTCTAGTCAGTCTCGTTCAGTTCTAGTCATTCTAGTTCAGTTCTAGTTCAGTTCTAGTTCAGTTCTAGTTTCAGTTCTAGTTCAGTTCTAGTTCGTTCTAGTTCAGTTTAGTTCAGTTCTAGTTCAGTTCTAGTTCAGTTCGTAGTCAGTTCTAGTTCAGTTCTCGTTCAGTTCTAGTTAGTTCTAGTTCAGTTCTAGTTCAGTTCTAGTTCAGTTCTAGTTCAGTTCTAGTTCAGTTCTAACGTTCAGTTCTAGTTCAGTTCTAGTTCAGTTCTAGTTCAGTTCTAGTTCAGTTCTAGTCAGTTCTAGTTCAGTTCTAGTTTCAGTTCTAGTTCAGTTCTAGTTCTAGTTCTAGTTCTAGGTCTAGTTCTAGTTCAGTTCTAGTTCAGTTCTAGTTCAGTTCTAGTTCAGTTCTAGTTCAGTTCTAGTTCAGTTCTAGTTCAGTTCTAGTTCAGTTCTAGTTCAGTTCTAGTTCAGTTCTAGTTCAGTTCTAGTTCAGTTCTAGTTCAGTTCTAGTTCAGTTCTAGTTCAGTTCTAGTTCAGTTCTAGTTCAGTTCTAGTTCAGTCTAGTTCAGTTCTAGTTCAGTTCTAGTCAGTTCTAGTTCAGTTCTAGTTCAGTTCTAGTTCAGTTCTAGTTCAGTCTAGTTCAGTTCTAGTTCAGTTCTAGTTCAGTTCTAGTCAGTTCTAGTTCAGTTCTAGTTCAGTTCTAGTTCAGTTCTAGTTTCAGTTCTAGTTCAGTTCTAGTTCAGTTCTAGTTCAGTTCTAGTTCAGTTCTAGTTCAGTTCTAGTTCAGTTCTAGTTTCAGTTCTAGTTCAGTTCTAGTTCAGTTCTAGTTCAGTTCTAGTTCAGTTCTAGTTCAGTTCTAGTTCATTCTAGTTCAGTTCTAGTTCAGTTCTAGTTCAGTTCTAGTTCAGTTCTAGTTCAGTTCTAGTTCAGTTCTAGTTCAGTTCTAGTTCAGTTCAGTTCTAGTTCAGTTCTAGTTCAGTTCTAGTTCAGTTCTAGTTCAGTTCTAGTTCAGTTCTAGTTCAGTTCTAGTTCAGTTCTAGTTCAGTTCTAGTTCAGTTCTAGTTCAGTTCTAGTTCAGTTCTAGTTCAGTTCTAGTTCAGTTCTAGTTCAGTTCTAGTTCAGTTCTAGTTCAGTTCTAGTTCAGTTCTAGTTCAGTTCTAGTTCAGTTCTAGTTCAGTTTTAGTTCAGTTCTAGTTCAGTTCTAGTTCAGTTCTAGTTCAGTTCTAGTTCAGTTCTAGTTCAGTTCTAGTTCAGTTCTAGTTCAGTTCTAGTTCAGTTCTAGTTCAGTTCTAGTTCAGTTCTAGTTCAGTTCTAGTTCAGTTCTAGTTCAGTTCTAGTTCAGTTCTAGTTCAGTTCTAGTTCAGTTCTAGTTCAGTTCTAGTTCAGTTCTAGTTCAGTTCTAGTTCAGTTCTAGTTCAGTTCTAGTTCAGTTCTAGTTCAGTTCTAGTTCAGTTCGTTCAGTTCTGTTCTAGTTCAGTTCAGTTCAGTTCTAGTTCAGTTCTAGTTCAGTTCTAGTTCAAGTTCTAGTTCAGTTCTAGTTCAGTTCTAGTTCAGGTTCTAATTCAGGTCTAGTTCAGTTCTAGTTCAGTTCTAGTTCAGTTCTAGTTCATTTATAGTCCAGTTGTAATATAACACATTAAAATTTTTGATGGAATGACTATATATATACATATGTGAGTAAAATTGAAAGATCGTGGATCGCTATGAGAATATGCAACACCAAACTAAATTTGATTTTATAGTGCAGACTGACGGACACATTTATATCGTCTTAATATAAAACATTTACATAATATTATACTGTCCCACCTTATGGTGGGTATAAAGATAGTGTTTTTATTGAATTTAAATAGTTTCTAACATATGCTACATGTAGTACATAATTCTTTTCTGATTCTTATTATACTTTGTACTAAATCCTATACAAGTGTTGGCAAGATTTGCGAAAAAAAATACCGAAAATAATCTGACAAAATTGTCCAATAACCATATTCGTTTTTTTCTGTATGTTTTTTTCAAAAGGGGGACTTTTTCAGTTGCTTGTTATGTTCACTCCTTTCAAAACATCTTAAGTTAAAGCCACGTTAAGATAGCAATCAGAATGTATAGAATATTTAAAGAAAGACTAGAAGACTGGTAACATATTTTCTTTCAATTGACACATATTCTTAGTTTGGGGTTTTTGTTTTGGCTGTTTGTATAATATTACTAATGCATATGTATGTTGAAGAAAGAAAAGAAAAAAGTAGGGGAAAATTGTATAATGTTATCAAGTGATAACATTTCTATTACACTGATAAAACTAATAAATGAAATTTCCATATTTCAGGGGGAAAAACACTCAACAAAAATTTACATGAATTTATGTAGACATTTCTTTTTTGTGGGGGAAAAATAATGTCAAAGAGAGTTGTTGTGCAAATTATTATGTTAAAAAGTGTTAAATTGCTTTAAAAAAGAATTTTATTTATATTTTTAGTATTCATATCTTAATCTAACATCAAGTGGCAGAGAGTTTGTAATAAATGATTTCTTAAAGAATGTTTTCAAGATTTAATATTTAGGCTCAAAGAAAGAAAGAAATTACTACTTATGTTTCGGTACAAATGTTACAAATTTGTTGTTAGTTATACTATGTAAAAATATCGTTTGACTCATTTTAAAAGTTGACTTAAATTTCTAATTTAGATTTTTTAACATCAAAATTTTTACTACAAATCATAAATTTCAACAAAGTTCACTTTTTCTCAGCTTAAACTACTAACTTTAGTTTAAAATAAAGAAAAAAATTCTATGCAACAAAATCTATGGACATTAAAAACATTTTTTTAAACAAACGTACAAACACATTAACAATCTCTTTACATGGCACGCACTTCCGGAAGCAATCGGAAGCTAAAAGAGTTTTCAAACTATAAACTCAAGGATTATTTGAAAAACGTGCTAACATTTGCTAAAACTGTACAAACAAAACAATACAAAAAAATCATAGGAAAAAAAATGAAAACAGTTTAGAAAAAATCACAAAACAACTGGAAAAATTTTGTGAAACAATAGCAACTAAACAACAACAACCAAAAAAAAAAAAAGAAAAATATACATAAAAATAAAGTATACAAAAACAGAAAAAAGAAGAATCATGGATGCAATAGCAGCAATTTTTGCACACCATTTACTAATCGGTTTGCAAAGTGCTAAATACAAGAACAAATACGGAATAAAAGTTTGCTATTTGTACTATGGCGGGAACTGGCTCGTTGGATCACCCAAATGAATGGCAATAGCACAATAGTATTTGCAGAAGTTTTGTATTGCAAAATGCAGAGTAGTTTTGTTAAGAAAAGTATAATGTAGAGCAGAATAAAAATGCTAAAGTGAAAGAATAAAGAAAACAACTAGATACCAATAGCAAAGTAGACACAACCGAACATTTGTTAACCTACACCATATATGAGTTAAATTCAATTCCACTTAGTTAAGTTCTAGTTCAGTTCTAGTTTAGTTCTAGTTCAGTTCTAGTTCAGTTCTAGTTCAGTTCTAGTTCAGTTCTAGTTCAGTTCTAGTTCAGTTTTAGTTCAGTTCTAGTTCAGTTCTAGTTCAGTTCTAGTTCAGTTCTAGTTCAGTTCTAGTTCAGTTCTAGTTCAGTTCTAGTTCAGTTCTAGTTCAGTTCTAGTTCAGTTCTAGTTCGGTTCTAGTTCAGTTCTAGTTCAGTTCTAGTTCAGTTCTAGTTCAGTTCTAGTTCAGTTCTAGTTCAGTTCTAGTTCAGTTCTAGTTCAGTTCTAGTTCAGTTCTAGTTCAGTTCTAGTTCTGTTCTAGTTCAGTTCTAGTTCAGTTCTAGTTCAGTTCTAGTTCAGTTCTAGTTCAGTTCTAGTTCAGTTCTAGTTCAGTTCTAGTTCAGTTCTAGTTCAGTTCTAGTTCAGTTCTAGTTCAGTTCTAGTTCAGTTCTAGTTCTAGTTCAGTTCTAGTTCAGTTCTAGTTCAGTTCTAGTTCAGTTCTAGTTCAGTTCTAGTTCAGTTCTAGTTCAGTTCTAGTTCAGTTCTAGTTCAGTTCTAGTTCAGTTCTAGTTCAGTTCTAGTTCAGTTCTAGTTCAGTTCTAGTTCAGTTCTAGTTCAGTTCTAGTTCAGTTCTAGTTCAGTTCTAGTTCAGTTCTAGTTCAGTTCTAGTTCAGTTCTAGTTCAGTTCTAGTTCAGTTCTAGTTCAGTTCTAGTTCAGTTCTAGTTCAGTTCTAGTTCAGTTCTAGTTCAGTTCTAGTTCAGTTCTAGTTCAGTTCTAGTTCAGTTCTAGTTCAGTTCTAGTTCAGTTCTAGTTCAGTTCTAGTTCAGTTCTAGTTCAGTTCTAGTTCAGTTCTAGTTCAGTTCTAGTTCAGTTCTAGTTCAGTTCTAGTTCAGTTCTAGTTCAGTTCTAGTTCAGTTCTAGTTCAGTTCTAGTTCAGTTCTAGTTCAGTTCTAGTTCAGTTCTAGTTCAGTTCTAGTAGTTCTAGTTCAGTTCTAGTTCAGTTCTAGTTCCAGTTCATTTCCTGAAATTCTATTCAATTTATCATATTTTGTATTTTGTTTAACAACAATATAAATAAAAAACTTGTTTTAATTTATTTTCTTCTTTCTTTACAGTCAAACTTAACCCATTTGCCTCGCTCTGAATATGTGATGGGTATTGGTTTGGGCATTGCTAAATGTCCTTATGATCCACTAGACAACTCCACAGCCATTTATGTTGAAGAAGGTAACCCCGGTGGTTTGCCCGGCTTGGTAAGTAAATATTTAATATTATCGTCAACAATTCTGTGGGCTTTCATTGTATTTAAATATAATACTCTTGATCTTAAGGTTATTAATGGAAAAAGTAGAGATTTATGTATATTTCTTTAATTTTAAATACTAAATACAAAGAAGATAAAAAAACGTTCATGTATTTGTCTCCCATAAAACAAATATAAAACTTATTTGAATCTCTCAACAGTTATTTTGCATTTTTCATATAGGGTTGTTTCCGTTAGTACGTTTGTCTTTACTTGTGATTATTTCTCTTTTTATACGTTTTGAAGATGTTTTATTTATTTTCCATTTCGCTAAGTACACTTGTTATTTTTCTAAGTAATATTTGTGGTTTTATGTTTTTTATATTTATTTATAATGCTACTTATTTATTTGCTGTAAGACATAAAAAGCAAACAGCCATCACGTCTTAATATTTTATTTGATTTGTTGGGCTTGTTTTCCAAGCCACTATAAGTACTAGACCTATTTGTTTTTATTTATTCCATACAAATAGGAATAAAGAGGAAACGATATGAAATAAATATCTTATCTCTTTTGCTTATATCAAATGACAATATTTTTTACATATGACAATGACATGAACTAGAGCTAGAACTAAACTAGAACTGAACTAAAACTGAACTTGAACTGAACTAGAACTGAACTAGAACTGAACTAGAACTGAACTAGAACTGAACTAGAACTGAACTAGAACTGAACTAGAACTGAACTAGAACTGAACTAGAACTGAACTAGACTGAACTAGAACTGAACTAGAACTGAACTAGAACTGAACTAGAACTGAACTAGAACTGAAATATGAAAGACTGAACTAGAACTGAACTAGAACTGAACTAGAACTGAACTAGAACTGAAACTAGAACGAACTAGAACTGAACTAGACCTGAACTAGAACTGAACTAGAACTGAACTAGAACTGAACTAGAACTGATACTAGAACTAGAACTGAACTAGAACTGAACTAGAACTGAACTAGAACTGAACCTAGAAACTGAACTAGAACTGAACTAGACTGAACTAGAACTACAGAACTGAACTAGAACTGAACTAGAACTGAACTAGAACTGAACTAGAACTGAACTAGAACTGAACTAGAACTGAACTAGAACTGAATCTAGAACTGAACTATAGAACTGAACTAGAACTGAACTAGAACTGAACTAGAACTGAACTAGAACTGAACTAGAACTGAACTAGAACTGAACTAGAACTGAACTAGAGAACTGAACTAGAACTGAACTAGAACTGAACTAGAACTGAACTAGAACTGAACTAGAACTGAACTAGAACTGAACTACTGAACTGAACTGAACTGAACTAGAACTGAACTAGAACTGAACTAGAACTGAACTAGAACTGAACTAGAACTGAACTAGAACTGAACTAGAACTGAACTAGAACTGAACTAGAACTGAACTAGAACTGAACTAGAACTGAACTAGAACTGAACTAGAACTGAACTAGAACTGAACTAGAACTGAACTAGAACTGAACTAGAACTGAACTAGAACTGAACTAGAACTGAACTAGAACTGAACTAGAACTGAACTAGAACTGAACTAGAACTGAACTAGAACTGAACTAGAACTGAACTAGAACTGAACTAGAACTGAACTAAAACTGAACTAAACTGAACTAGAACTGAACTAGAACTGAACTAGAACTGAACTAGAACTGAACTAGAACTGAACTAGAACTGAACTAGAACTGAACTAGAACTGAACTAGAACTGAACTAGAACTGAACTAGAACTGAACTAGAACTGAACTAGAACTGAACTAGAACTGAACTAGAACTGAACTAGAACTGAACTAGAACTGAACTAGAACTGAACTAGAACTGAACTAGAACTGAACTAGAACTGAACTAGAACTGAACTAGAACTGAACTAGAACTGAACTAGAACTGAACTAGAACTGAACTAGAACTGAACTAGAACTGAACTAGAACTGAACTAGAACTGAACTAGAACTGAACTAGAACTGAACTAGAACTGAACTAGAACTGAACTAGAACTGAACTAGAACTGAACTAGAACTGAACTAGAACTGAACTAGAACTGAACTAGAACTGAACTAGGAGTTTGATATTTTATTGAAATTGGATTATACGTTTAGAACTCTTGTATCCTCTTTTTCGCAACTTTGAGGCGATTAATATTTTCTCGCGAAACGAATTTGTGAACGTTGAATTAAGTTCTATAATGTTCTTTATACGTATAATATTCCTTATCCTTTTACAGTGTACCACCAATAAGCTTATGATAGTAAGCATGATATTTTACTTGTTTTATGTCATTCAGTCCTGTTTTTATATACAAATTTTAAGATGATTTTATTTTATGTAAATGTCATGTTGTTGTCTACTAACTCTTCTTTATAAAAAATAAAACATTCATATTAACATAAATAAATTTGTTTTATATTCTAATCATAATTTTATTTCTTTTTTATATTCTTTAGTATTCCGGTACAAATGCTGAATTCACTAAAGCGGATACTGTCATCTTTCGTACGGATTTGTATAATGTTACAGCTAAACGTTTGGAGTATAAATTCAAGCGTACTCTTAAATATGATTCTAAATGGTTGGACAGTAAGTATTTGCTTTTAGTCTTTGGAAAAAAATATATTAAAATAAGAAACTCTTTTATCTAACACAATCTTTACAATATTAACTGAACTTAATAAAAATAACTAAATAAATAATATAAATTTATAAGTAAATGAGTAGTAAAAATAAATTTATAGCTTAATAGGTAATAATATATTAAATATATTATTTTTTTATAAACAATAACATTAAGTGATTGTTTTTTAGCTCTTTCTTTAATACTTTTATTTTAATGCGATAAACATGTTATTTCTTATAAATATTGTAAGTAAATTATCCAGCTTTATTTTGCTAAACTTATTTAATTTTAAATGTTTATAATATGATTATTGTTAATTGTAAAGGATTTATGTATCTTCTTTTTTATTCTTTATAGTATAACAAAATGTTGTTTATAATTTTTTTTTACCAATATTTAACGCTGTCATGGTTGCTTTTCATAATCTTGTTAACTTGAAAATATAATTAAATTTACTTGCATTAAAAACCAAAAATTATTATATTAAAATCTATTATCGCTCCTAAATGTGTTGTAAACATCGTCGTCGTTGTCGTTATCATCATCAGATGATAGTAATTGCATTTGGTGAAAGAACAGTGGGTTTAATTAAATACATGGTTGTGAAAATATGTACTGCATTATCACGAGAGCTCAAATTGTTTGGCGTTCCTTTATAACGCCAAAACTGCACAATCTAGCAGTTTATACCTGGTACATATTTTACATCAGGAGCCCCAGCGGGCGGTTGGAAGAGAATGTGTTAAGAGAATTGTGTTAATAGTATACGATAGGGGGTCTTTCCTCACTCGTATACCTAGAGTGAGTGTGTCAAACAAAGTTCTCGGCTTATTTGATTGATTCATGTTTCGGCCTACCGAATAGGTGCTGTTGCCGACTGAGGAGATGAAAGACTCCATCATATATATCCTCGCCTTTTCCAAGGAATGATTTGACATAGTGTCGAACAGGGTAGAGTTACAGACTTTGTCTTGTCCCAATTATTGGAAAGGTCCCTTCGGGGTGCATAGGGCAATAGTTAGAGATTAGATAGCTTGAGTACTTGAGCAAAGTGCATGTACGTGGACCGGCAGAACCTTGTACATAAATTGCCACCGGCGTGTTAAATAGACAAGGGGCGATGGTGTATCATCTAGTAGCTCACCCTGTGGTTGAAAAAGTACAACCTTGAAATAAGGCCAACACGGCAGGGGTTCACGTAAAGCACCTCGAAATCTTTACACACAGCCATTTATAGATAAATTTGTTTTGGTTTACACCATTTACAATCGAACAAGTGAATCATATGTCAGTAGCAACATATATTTCCTCCCTTTCCGAATGTTTTTTTTTTAGCATTTGAGTTTTAGAATTATTTCCACCAAGGCCTACACAAAGGAAAAAGAAATATACACGCCTGGTACCAAATTAACACCGAACTATGTAATGTTGATAACATCTATTTTTTTGTTTGTTAACATTTAGATTTCGACAACGAATTGTTGCAATGTTGAGAACATTGCGTTCTCAACATTACATAGTGTTGTCGTACGTATGTATATACTTTGACAACGGATGTTATTGAACAATTATAAACTCTTTGGTGTCAATTTGGTACCAGGCGTGTATATTTCAGGTCAACAACGATACAATTTACCCTGAATTGATGTGAATTGACTCTAAATATGTTTCTGAGTAAATCGATATCCCAACCATTATGTATTTATCACAATTCTGGGTTCCTTTTTGATTTAGAAAATTTCAAATAAATCTATTATTTGAGGTATGACATGGATTGTATTAAGGACGATATATTTGATTTATTACTTATTTAATGTTTTAAAATCTATTTTATAATATCCCACTGTTTTCTATCCTCCATTTTATTACTGACTCAAACAATTTTGTGGTGTTTAATTAAATTTTAATATTCGTGGAAAATGTTCAATAAATCCTCTATAAATCCGTTTAAACCAATACAAAGACATTGTAAAACTAAAGCAAATTTTCTTATCATATAAAACTATACAAACAAATATAATAGATTTTTGAAAAAAATATATGTGTACATAGTGGTAAAAACTTTAGAGAAAATCATATTAATTTTGTGAAAAAAAAAACAATAAAGTAAGAAAATATAGTCGTGCTAGTTCAAACATATGATGCCCTACATCGATATAAACTTATATACGGATAAAGTCCTTATTCGGTGGAAAGCATAAAATTTTATTGAGATATTTTTTAAGATATCAAGGAAGGACATATATTCAAACATTGCCTTAGAAAGAGAATCTGACTCAATTAGTATATAAACACTTTACTGTAGCAGTGTAGGGTTAAAACATAATCAGCTAATACTTCATATTTTAACCCACTTAGTTATTTAACGGCAACTAGTACAAACATAAATTTAAATTTGCTAAAAACGAAGGATATGTAAATCCTTATACAAAATTAAATATAAACTTAATTAAAAATATAAAAAGATTGATAAAACAAAGAGATAAACTAAAAAAGGATATAAAATTAATTGGAAAAAAATATATAATTTAATTTTCTCGTCATTTTTTAGAACCAAACTTTGTGGGCGCTTTTGATATTGGCGAATATGTTTATTTCTTTTTCCGTGAAACCGCTGTGGAATATATCAACTGTGGTAAAGCAGTGTATTCGCGTATAGCTCGTGTCTGTAAAAAGGATGTGGGTGGTAAAAATCTTTTGGCTCACAATTGGGCCACGTACTTGAAGGCTCGCTTGAATTGTAGTATTTCGGGTGAATTTCCATTTTACTTTAATGAAATACAATCGGTTTATCAATTGCCTACGGATAAGACACGTTTCTATGCTACATTTACCACCAGTACAAATGGTTTAATTGGTTCGGCTGTTTGCAGTTTTCATATCAATGAGGCTTTGGCTGCTTTTAATGGTAAAAAATATTTAATTTGTTTAAAGCAAATAAAAACCTTTATTATTTTTCATTATCTTTAGGCAAATTTAAAGAGCAGTCCTCTTCCAATTCCGCCTGGTTGCCAGTATTAAATTCTCGTGTTCCTGATCCTCGTCCTGGCACCTGTGTCAATGACACTTCTAATTTACCTGATACCGTTTTGAATTTTATACGCTCTCATCCTCTTATGGATCGTGCTGTCAATCATGAGCATAACAATCCTGTTTACTATAAAAGAGATTTAGTATTTACCAAATTAGTGGTGGACAAGTGAGTAAATTTAATTTAACTTTTTGCTTTTTTCACGATTATTTCATTTTAATATTGAGACTATGACGGTTATTTACCTTAACCAATTTCTCATATACCCTTTACTAACCAAAGTGTCATTTATAAATGAACATTCTTGCTTATTCAGACCATCATAATATGCGTGGAGTATTTGTTTGTTTGTGTGTGTGTGTCCTTTAATCTTCAGAAGAAATTAAAAATTAATTAAAAAATAATTAAAAATCTCAATAAATTGTGAACTACAGAAAAAAAATTAATTGCGGTTATAATCGATAAATTACATGCATTTGCAATAAACATGCAAATGCTGGCAATGGATGCAAAATATTTGTACATAAGTAAATATATGAATATTTGGGTGGTTCATTAATATATTGTCAATAATGAGACTATGCGATGTATAGACTCAGATTATAGACTATAATCTTAGCCCAGATTATAGACTATATATATAAGAATATAAGCTATAATATAAACTGTAGGCTATAGTCCAGATTATAGACAACAGTGTAGATAGTCCAGACTACAACCAACAGTCCACAGTACAGAATATAGTCCACATTATAGACAACAGTAAAGACTATAGACCAGACTATAGACTATAGTCCAGGCTGTAGACTATATTCCAGACTATAGACTATAGTCCAGGCTATAGACAACAGCCCAGACTATAGACAACAGCCCAGACTATAGACTATAGTCCATACTATAGACTATAGTCCAGACTATTGACTATTGTCCAGATTACAGTCTATAGTCTGGACTATAGCCTATAGTCCAGACTATTGACTATTGTCCAGATTACAGTCTAGACTATAGTACAGATCATACTCCAGACTATAGACTATAGTCGAGACTATAGTACAGATCATACTCCAGACCATAGACTATAGTCGAGACTATAGTCCAGACTATAGACTATAGTCCAGACTATAGACTATAGTCCAGACTATAGACTATAGTCCAGACTATAGACTATAGTCCAGACTATAGTTCAGACTTTAGATTATAGTTCAGACTGTAGACTATAGTACAGACTACAGTCTAGACTACAGAATTTAGTCCAGACTATAGACTATAGTCCAGACTATAGACTAAAGTCTAGACTATAGTCCAGACTATAGACTATAGTCCAGACTATAGACTATAGTCCAGACTATAGACTACAGTCTAGACTATAGTCCAGACTAAAGACTATAGTCCAGACTATAGACTATAGCCCAGACTATAGAATATAGTCCAGACTATAGAATATAGTCCAGACTATAGAATATAGTCCAGACTATAGACTTTAGTCCAGACTATAGACTATAGTCCAGACTATAGACTATAGCCCAGACTATAGAATATAGTCCAGGCTATAGACTATAGCCCTGACTATAGAATACAGTCTAGACTATAGACTATAGCCCAGACTATAGACTATAGTCCAGAATATAGACTATAGTCCAGAATATAGACTATAGTCCAGACTATACACTATAGTCCAGACTATAAACTGTAGTCCAGACTATAGACTATAGTTCAGACAGTAGACTATAGTTCAGACTGTAGACTATAGTCCAGATTATAGACTACAGTTAAGACTGTAGACTATAGTCCAGATTATAGACTACAGTTAAGACTGTAGACTATAGTCCAGACTATAGACTATAGTCCAGACTATAGACTATGGTCCAGACTATAGACTATAGTCCAGACTATAGACTATAGTTCAGACTATAGACTATAGTTCAGACTATAGTCTATAGTCCAGACTATAGACTTTAGTCCAGACTATAGACTATAGTTCAGACTATAAACTATAGTCCAGACTATAGACTATACCCCCAACACTCGAACCAAAGATCCTAAAAAAAATTAAAACACCCTAATAGTCTACATATAGTCCAGACTATATACTACAGTCCAGACTATAGTCTATAGAACAGACTATAGACTATAGTTCAGACTATATACTACAGTCTAGACTATAGTCCAGACTATAGACTATAGTCTATACTATAGACCATAGTCCAGACTATAGACTATAGTGCATACTATAGACTATAGTCCATACTATAGATTATAGTCCAGACTATAGACTATATCCCCAACACTCGAACCAAAGATCCTAAAAAAAATTAAACACCCTAATAGTCAACAAATTAAAAGTAACAGCTGTAGTAAAATTGTTGCTATATTTGTTAATTTATTTTATAAATTACAACAAAAAAAGGAATTGCACAGAAGAGAAATCGTTCACAGAGTTCAGTTAAGGTTTTGCTCATATTGTTATTAATTCGAATTTTTTACATTCAATAAATACAAATTTCTTAAAAATATCTGTTAAGTTAAATAAATATTACAAGAAATTTAATTCATAGTTAAAAACCTCACGTACAATTGAATATTAAAAAAATTTAATCCAAAAAGAAATACATAATCCCAAAATTTTTTAGCAATTTGCCCTAGAGTCCATAGTTCAAAAATAGAACAACCTTTAGATTTTGATTTTCATACATACTTACTATTTTAAAGTACATAAACACAGATTACATGAAACCTGTAACTTTGTTGGTGCAAAATGGATCCTTTTTAAACAGTAGTGATGGCTAGTGTCTAATTAGTTCAATGTAAAATATTCGAATTTAATACGTTTTTGAAAGAATGGGCCACCAAAGTGAAAATCAATGCCAAGCTTAACAATTGAGACTTTCAGCCTGAACAGCTGGGCATATGTTTGAACCACACACAAACACATTGAGACACATAATATCGCTGTTTATACAACCACTAACAAACAAAGCGAGCGGTGGCCTTTACACACATAAAGGTAATTTGTGGCAATTGTAATACATAATGTTCAAATTATGGATTTAATTAAAGCAAGTGTTTGAAGCAAATAGTAACCAAAAATAATAAAAATTAAATAATAAGAGCTCTTTAGCAAAACATATGAAGAAATACATAGTTGAACAAAATTGATTTTTAATTAAATTATTATAATTTAATAATAATAATAAATTAAAATACAATAAAAACAAGATTTGAATAAATTACCAAAATTCAGTTGCAGGTATTAATATAAATAAAATTGTTATTCAGAAAGCTTATATTAGTTTTAAACTGATATTTAAAATTAAAAAGTAATGTATATTTTTACTATATAAATTAAATTGTATTTCAGTGGATAGCTAGATAGATAGATAGATAGATAGATAGATAGATAGATAGATAGCGATAGATAGATAGATAGATAGATAGATAGATAGATAGATAGATAGATAGATAGATAGATAGATAGATAGATAGATAGATAGCTAGATAGATAGATAGATAGATAGATAGATCGATAGATAGTAGATAGATAGATAGATAGATAATAGATAGATTAGATAGATAGATAGATAGATAGATAGATAGATAGATAGATCAGATAGATAGATAGATAGATAGATAGATTATAGATAGATAGATTAGATAGATAGATTAGATCGATAGATTAGATAGATAGATAGATAGATAGATAGATAGATAGCCTAGATAGATACGATAGGATAGCTAGATAGATAGATTAGGATAGATAGACTAGATAGGATAGATAGATAGATAGATAGATTGATAAGATAGAAGATAGATAGATAGATAGATAGATAGATAGATAGATAGATAGATAGATAGATAGATAGATAGATAGATAGATAGATAGATAGATAGATAGATAGATAGATATAGATAGATAGATAGATAGATTAGATAGATAGATAGATAGATAGATAGATAGATAGATAGATAGATAGATAGATAGATAGATAGATAGATAGATAGATAGATAGATAGATAGATAGATAGATAGATAGATAGATAGATAGATGATAGATAGATAGATAGATAGATAGATAGATAGATAGATAGATAGATAGATAGATAGATAGATAGATAGATAGATAGATAGATAGATAGATAGATAGATAGATAGATAGATAGATAGATAGATAGATAGATAGATAGATAGATAGATAGATAGATAGATAGATAGATAGATAGATAGATAGATAGATAGATAGATAGATAGATAGATAGTAGATAGATAGATAGATAGATAGATAGATAGATAGATAGATAGATAGATAGATAGATAGATAGATAGATAGATAGATAGATAGATAGATAGATAGATAGATAGATAGATAGATAGATAGAGATAGATAGATAGATAGATAGATAGATAGATAGATAGATAGATAGATAGATAGATAGATAGATAGATAGATAGATAGATAGATAGATAGATAGATAGATAGATAGATAGATAGATAGATAGATAGATAGATAGATAGATAGATAGATAGATAGATAGATAGATAGATAGATAGATAGATAGATAGATAGATAGATAGATAGATAGATAGATAGATAGATAGATAGATAGATAGATAGATAGATAGATAGATAGATAGATAGATAGATAATTGGATATAAAATAGTAATGACATTTTCGTTCCGTAGAGTTGCTGTAGATACTGCCACATGTATAAATTAGCTACTGTTACCACATTTCGATATGCTTTCATATTCCTTGACTTAAACCACTCGGCTTCTACTACATATTTATTCCATTAAAAATCCCTAACAACAAAAAACAACAGATAATTACTTATAATTTTTTAAAGCATTTCATTTGAAAAAAAGAACCGCATTAATTAAATACTTATAAATTAAATTACCAAAAAAAACGTAAAGAGCAAAAACATAATAAATGCCTTAAAATCCTACCAAACTATACGGCGGGCAATAAAAAATCAATAAATGTATTTTTGACGGCAATTGTAATAATACCACTTAATATTAAATTACTTTTTGATACTTTTATATTTTAATGACATTATGATTACATAAAATAAACACACATGTACACAGACGCAAACAAACGCATTGAAAGCCATTTCCGCATACCACTACCAGCCACCACTGAAGGCAATGTAAAGTAACGTTCACTGAAACATCATTGCATACATTCAGGCGCCAGTAGCAAAAGGCTGTAACTGCAGTGTTATAATGCATTTTTACAACAATGTATGTTGTTGAATATTGAATTTAAAATATTAAAAAAAGTAAAAAAAAACAAGCAAGGCTTAATATAAAACAAAAAAAAAACTCGAAAAAAGTTTCAATAGCAATCAACAGCCAGTTATGGGTTGTGATGTAAAGAATGAACAAAAGGACAGGCAATGATACCAATAAACAGACGCAAATACATCTATGGAAGCATAAAATCTCAGGTATTATAAATTAAAATTGGGATTTTCATTTCATATTTTCCATCCTTTTACTGCCCCCATACACTCGTTCTCTCTCTCTCTTATGTATATGAATTTATTAAAATCCTTTTGTAAAACTTTAATTACATAAAAAAATTGAAATAAAGAAACGGTATCGCATTAATGGCCATAAAATGTGCCATTGTTTTTGTTCAATAATAATACGTATATTTAAAAAAAGAACATGATTTTTATTTAAATACAATCAAGGGATTGTTTTTATTTTGCCCACAATAAAGTAATCATATTTTCGACAAACTTTTAATTTTTATACAACATTTATACTTATTGTTTTCCCCCATTTTGTTTGTTTCTTTACAGAATTAAAATCGATATTTTAAATCAGGAATATACTGTTTACTATGTGGGCACAAATTTGGGACGCATCTATAAAATTGTTCAATATTATCGTAATGGTGAATCGTTGTCAAAGCTTTTGGATATCTTTGATATTGCACAAAATGAACCCATTCAGGTGATGCAAATCAGTCAGACACGTAAATCCTTGTATGTGGGAACAGATCATCGTGTCAAACAAATCGATTTGGCCATGTGCAATCGTCGTTATGACAATTGTTTCCGTTGTGTACGTGATCCCTATTGCGGCTGGGATAAGGAAGCAAATACATGTCGTCCATATGAATTGGATTTATTGCAGGTAATTTTTTTTTGTGAAACAAAATGTTACATTACAAATGAAACATTTTTTTTTTTTGAACAGATTGAAAAATGTAAAAAATATTAGACTTTGTTTTAAGAATAGCAAGCTATGGAGTGCGGAGAGATTTTTAGCAAGACTAGAGTCCTAATGTCTAGCTAGACTATATTCGATTTTGTCTTAAACCAAAGTCGCTATCCTAATCAGACTATAGTCGTTACTTTAATCTAACTATAGCCGCAACTCTGTTCAAACTATAGCCGTTCCCTGACCGGACTCTAGTCTGACTCTAGTAAGACTACAGTCTCTGCATTAGTCAGCCTATATTCGTTACTCTACTCAGTCGTTACTTTAATCTGACTATAGCCGCGACTTTAGTTAGACTATAGCCGTTCCCTGGTCAGACTCTAGTCAGACTACAGTCTCTGCATTAATCAGTCTATATTCGTTACTCTACTCAGACCACTTTATACAAACTATAGTCGTTACTGTAGTCATTACTCTAATTAGATTATAAAGGCTAGACTTGTCATTCTATAATCGAGCAATACTAGCTAGTGGCTACTCTGGTAAGATCATTGCTATAGTCAGACTATAGTCACAGTCAGACTATATTCATAGTCAGACTATAGTCATAGTGAAACTGTATACTATAGTCATAGTCAGAATAACGAAAGTCATAGTCATATTCAGACTATAGTCATAGTCTGACAATAGTATTTATCGCCAATTTAGTCTGACTTTATCCTTTAGAATTTTGGCGACTATAGTCGATACTCTAATCAGATTATAAACGCTATAATAACTACTTTAATCAGATCATACTCGCTATCTGACTATAGCTGAAATTCTGTTCGAACTATAGCCGTTCCCTGGTTAGACTCTAGTCAGACTACAGTCTCTGCATTAGTCAGACTACATTCGTTACTCAACTTAGACTACTTTATACAAACTATAGTCCATCCTTAAGTCATTACTCTAATCAGATTATAAAGGCTAGACTTGTCATTCTATAATCGAGCCATACTAGCTAGTAGCTACTACGGTAAGATCATTGTTATAATCAGACTATAGTCATAATCAGAAAATATTCTTAGTCAGACTATAGTCATAGTCAAATTATTGTCATAATTATACTATAGTTATAGTCAGACTATAGTCATAGTCAGACTATAGTTATATTCGGATTATAGTCATAGTCAGACTATAGTCATAGTCAGACTATAGACATAGTCAAAATGTAGTCCTAATTATACCATAGTCATAGTCAGACTATAGTCATAGTCAGATTACAGTCATAGTCAGACTATAGTCATAGTCAGACTATTGTCATAGTCAGACTATAATCATAGTCAGACTATAGTCATAGTCAGACTATTGTCATAGCCAGACTATAGTCATATTCAGACTATAGTCATAGTCAAACTATATTCAGATTAAAGTTTTATTCAAACGAAAGTCATAGTCAGACTACATTCATAGTAAGACTATAGTCATAGTCAGACTACGGTCAGATTATTGTCAGACTATAGAAAGTAATTTTATCGGACCATAATAGCTACTCTTATCAGAGTCTGATCATAGTGACTATAGTTATAGTAAAACTTTAGTTGTAGTCCGACTATAGTTTTTGTCAGAATTCATATAGTCATAGTAAGACTACAGTCATAGTCAGACCATAGTCATATTCAGACTATAGCCATACGCCCATGTAATGACAACCGAATTTCGCGTAACATTTTTCAAATCGTATGCGATTTGATAATCGTGAGATTGTCAGCACATGGGCGATAGTTTGACAATAGTATTTATCACCAATTTGGTCCAACTCTATCCTTTAGAATTTTGGCCGACTATAGTCGATACTCTAATCAGATAATAAACTGCTAGTCTATTCATACTATAACAACTGACAATTGACAGACTATTATATAGTCGCAACCTAGTCAGAGTATAAACGAAAATCGTGCCAAATTATATTGAATACTCAAATCCGATTATAGACACTACTGCTGCCAGATTTAAGTGGCTACTCAAGTTAGACTATATTTACAGCTACAGTCAGGTTATAGTCGCTGATTTATTTAGACTAAATTCACTAAGCAAGTCAGACTATAGAAGATACTGTAGTTAGATTTCAATCACTTCTGAATGCAGATTACAAAAGTCAGGCTATAGTCGCTGCTGTACACTGACTATAGTCACTATACAAGTAAGACTATATACACTAGGCAAGTCAGACTTTTGTCGGTACAACAGTCAGACTATTGTTGTTGATTAGGCTATAGTCGCTTCATTAGTCAGACTGTAAGTGCTATTCTAATAAAACGATTTCTTCTCTCTAGTCAGACTATAGCCTTCATAGTCATTTCTCAAGCCAAAATATAAAGGCTACAAATATTCGCTACTATAGTCAAATTTAGTTTTCACTCTTATCAAATTTGGTCTTCACTGTAGTTAGACTATTCTATTCTTTTTACTTATCTTCTTTTTGTATTTATTGCATTTTTCTTTAAATTGTTTGTTGTTTTCTCTATTTTTAGGATGTTGGCAATGAGACAAGTGACATTTGTGATTCAAGTGTTTTGAAAAAGAAAATTGTTGTCACTTATGGACAAAGTGTACATTTAGGATGTTTTGTTAAAATACCCGAAGTCTTGAAAAATGAACAAGTAACTTGGTATCATCATTCAAAGGATAAGGGACGGTAAGTTCAAAATACAAATACAAACTAGACAGTAACACAGTTAAGATGAATGAATTGAATTTGAATATAAAACGAACATTTGTAATCTAATACGAGAAAAACTCTTCTTTATTTTCCTTTTTTTTCCTAAACAGCTATGAAATCAAATATAATCCTACGAAATATATAGAAACTACCGAAAGAGGTCTAGTAGTTGTTTCGGTAAATGAGGCAGATGGTGGTCGTTATGATTGTCATTTGGGTGGTTCTCTATTGTGCAGTTATAATATAACAGTAGATGCTCATAGGTAAATTGAATTAAATTTAAATATTTTAAATTTAAAAAAAGTTTTTTATTATCTAATAATAATATTAAATTTGAAATATTTCTATTTTTATTACCATTCTTTCAGATGCACTCCTCCCAATAAAAGTAATGATTATCAGAAAATCTATTCGGATTGGTGTCATGAATTTGAAAAATATAAAACTGCTATGAAATCCTGGGAAAAGAAACAAGCGGTAGGTCATTAAATTGTTATGCATTTTAAATATTTATGTAAAGAGTTGTTATAAATTATTGACAATTTATTGTTTTAACCTAATTTAAATAAATTGTTTAGTTTATTGTTATTAAAGCCGTCATATTTATGCTATTGCACTTAGATGCATACACAAATACACACTTGAGTATGCTACACCATTTCCAATTATATATTAGAAATGTCTAATTCTAATTCAGATATTGGGTAAATAAGAGTTTTAATCGGTCAACTAATAATACCTATTGATCATGTTAAGATGGAGAAGACAATACTATGAGATCATTTACAAAATTTTTAAAATATTTTAATTTTTTAATATAATTGGAAATGGTGTAGAATGTATGCAAATTTAGAAGAATATTTAAATAGTTGTGGTTTGTTTTCTATTGTCAGAGAATTAGTACAAATACACATAAGTATGTATATATAATTTAGTCTTATTCAAACAAAAACAACAATAATAAGAATCATCGATTGTTTAATGACCCAATTAGTTATATCAATAAAACAATTGATGGTGTCATTCAAATATTTAAATAATAAATATTTCATAAAAGACCAAGTACGAGACATAATCAAGTTGGTTTAAACAGCTTTGCAAGTTCCATATTTAAATTACGATTAGATCAATTTTAGCAGATCTACTTGAAGTAACAAAAACTTATTTAGGCTTTCAAGATCCAACTGACATATAAGCTCTCAGTTGTTCGTTGATTAGGTTTCAGAGCATTTGGAAGACAACTAAAGAGTTTTCCCAAGTATGAGCATTTTAAGTAAACCAATGTGGTATGTTTTCCAAATTTATTTAATCCTAACCCTAAGCTCTTCACAAAAACTTCATTAACTGTTATTTGATTTGGAACCACTTTTCTCCAAAACTGTTAATAGCCTTAATGTTGCGGTTATAAATTTCTCATTTCTCCTATTTACCACAATCTCAAATCAATAAATTATATAATAAGTTTATGCTTTTACTGGCACAATTTGTAGTACATTGAATGTTTATAATTTAATCACAATAAATTTATCATAATTATCATTATTGTTGCTGCGGTTGTTTATCGCACCCTTAGAAATCAATATATGTATGTATAAAATTGAAACCTAAGAATATAGGTAGAATTTAAGAATGGAAGCAAAATGTTAAGTTATGAATTATTATAAATTATTTGATGTTTTAAAGAAGTTTGGAACACTTAAACTCAAGCCCGCCTATGGTCGTCGCTACTTTTATCAGCCCATAGTATATAGTATCTACTATATTCAACTCAGTTCAGACTGTTCAGACTGAAGTCTTAAATGCAGTTGGAACATTAGACTATAGACAAGACTATAGACTAGACTATAGATTATACTATAGACTAGACTAGACTAGACTATAGACTAGACTAGACTAGACTATAGACTAGACTAGACTAGACTATAGACTAGACTAGACTATAGACTAGACTATAGACTAGACTATAGACTAGACTATAGACTAGACTATAGACTAGACTATAGACTAGACTATAGACTAGACTATAGACTAGACTATAGACTAGACTATAGACTAGACTATAGACTAGACTATAGACTAGACTATAGACTAGACTATAGACTAGACTATAGACTAGACTAGACTATAGACTAGACTAGACTAGACTAGACTAGACTAGACTAGACTAGACTAGACTAGACTAGACTAGACTAGACTAGACTAGACTAGACTAGACTAGACTAGACTAGACTAGACTAGACTAGACTAGACTAGACTAACTAGACTAGACTAGACTAGACTAGACTAGACTAGACTAGACTAGACTAGACTAGACTAGACTAGACTAGACTAGACTAGACTAGACTAGACTAGACTAGACTAGACTAGACTAGACTAGACTAGACTAGACTAGACTAGACTAGACTAGACTAGACTAGACTAGACTAGACTAGACTAGACTAGACTAGACTAGACTAGACTAGACTAGACTAGACTAGACTAGACTATAGACTATAGACTAGACTAGACTAGACTATAGACTAGACTAGACTATAGACTAGACTATAGACTAGACTAGACTATAGACTAGACTAGACTTGACTAGACTAGACTAGACTAGACTAGACTAGACTAGACTAGACTAGACTAGACTAGACTAGACTAGACTAGACTAGACTAGACTAGACTAGACTAGACTAGACTATAGACTATAGACTATAGACTAGACTGGACTAGACTAGACTATAGACTAGACTATAGACTAGACTATAGACTAGACTATAGACTAGACTATAGACTAGACTATAGACTAGACTATAGACTAGACTATAGACTAGACTATAGACTAGATAGACTAGACTATAGACTAGACTATAGACTAGACTATAGACTAGACTATAGACTAGACTATAGACTAGACTATAGACTAGACTATAGACTAGACTATAGACTAGACTATAGACTAGACTATAGACTAGACTATAGACTAGACTATAGACTAGACTATAGACTAGACTATAGACTAGACTATAGACTAGACTATAGACTAGAAGAGACTATAGACTAGACTATAGACTAGACTATAGACTAGACTATAGACTAGACTATAGACTAGACTATAGACTAGACTAGATATAGACTAGACTATAGACTAGACTATAGACTAGACTATAGACTAGACTATAGACTAGACTATAGACTAGACTATAGACTAGACTATAGACTAGACTATAGACTAGACTATAGACTAGACTATAGACTAGACTATAGACTAGACTATAGACTAGACTATAGACTAGACTATAGACTAGACTATAGACTAGACTATAGACTAGACTATAGACTAGACTATAGACTAGACTATAGACTAGACTATAGACTAGACTATAGACTAGACTATAGACTAGACTATAGACTAGACTATAGACTAGACTATAGACTAGACTATAGACTAGACTATAGACTAGACTATAGACTAGACTATAGACTAGACTATAGACTAGACTATAGACTAGACTATAGACTAGACTATAGACTAGACTATAGACTAGACTATAGACTAGACTATAGACTAGACTATAGACTAGACTATAGACTAGACTATAGACTAGACTATAGACTAGACTATAGACTAGACTATAGACTAGACTATAGACTAGACTATAGACTAGACTATAGACTAGACTATAGACTAGACTATAGACTAGACTATAGACTAGACTATAGACTAGACTATAGACTAGACTATAGACTAGACTATAGACTAGACTATAGACTAGACTATAGACTAGACTATAGACTAGACTATAGACTAGACTATAGACTAGACTATAGACTAGACTATAGACTAGACTATATACTGGACTATAGACTAGACTATATACTGGACTATAGTCTAGACTACAGACTAGACTATATACTTGACTATAGGCTAGACTATAGATTAAACTATAGACTAGTTGGGTTAAATATGTATGTATATACAAATTGTCAGCGATTTTAGTTATTCAAATACACAAGACTATGTTGCATTTTTATTGTAAATATGATTTAAATTTCATTTTAAACTTTAAAGATTATCTACTTAAATTTAATTTCAATTAAATATTAAATAATATTAGTTTATACAAATTGTTTAAACACATCTATAGCACTAATTAGTTTACATAAAATATTAACATAATTTTTCTTTCCCATTTTTTTTTACAGCAATGTTCATCACGTCAGAATTTCAGTCAACAGCATCCCAATGAAGTTTTTCGCAAAAATACAGTCTGATATCAACAAGGACTCAATACAAACGCACTAACGTCCATTAAACTTTTTTATTAAAACAATAAAATATTTAAAACAAATAAACAGTAAACAATACAAAGCAATAGTAATAAACAAAAAAACATAAATAATTAAAAATAAATATTAAAACAAAAAAATAATAAAACAAATTTTAATAATTGAAATAAAATAAAAATTAAAAAAAAAAAAAATAAACAATTCAACTAAAGTTCCCGCATAATACATGTTTTAAGCAGAGTAAAAAAAAAAACAATTTTAAACGGCATTTATATAAATAAATTGTAAGTTAATAATAACAATAAATAAATAAATTTAATTAAGAAAAAAAATTTAAAAAAATAAACATTATTACAACTGTCTCTTATATATTAACAAAATTGCTAATAATTACAATAATAACAACTGCATTGCAATTACAACAAAAGAAAAAAATAGCCACTAATAAATGTACTAACAATTTCAATTTAATTATCAAAAAAAAAATATATTTAAATTAATTTTACAACTACAACGAAGTAATAAGTGTTCGATAGTAATTAACAACACAAATACTAAGAGACCTATAACTTCTGTGTTTACTGTAATTCTTTGGATTAAAAACCAGACGATATAGAATAATGGGACACTTGCTATACAACTTTAAAATGGCAGACATTATGAATTAGTATTCTTTTTAAAATACTCTATTTTCTAATCTCTGTTAAATATTATAATATCCACTGAACATTTTCTAAATGCCTAAGCAGCAGGTTCATCTTTACATATTCCATTTTCAGAAACATTTAGTTTGAATAGAATTTGCTGTTTATCAACTGCACCACAGTGAGTTAATATTTAAACTTTAAACCAAATCGGAGAATTCTTAGCCATTCCCCTGTATCCTAATCAGGGAAATGGTCACAAACAGAATATTTTCTTCACTATAAAAGCCCCTATGGCTTTGGTGGACAGCATCGCTGAAAAATTCAAATCTGGAAATGTAATTATCTTTACATTGGTTAGTCTACGAACACACCGATGAGCCATCCTATTAGATAATCTGTTAGCTGGTCTAGTAAATACGGTTGACTACTCTGGTTCATATTAGTTTATGGACTATCCTATGAGCTATTCTATGGACTAGTCTATTGACTAACCTAAGGGCTAATTTATTGACTAGCTTATAGAATAGTTTATTGACTATTCTATGGTCCAGACTATTGATTAGCCTACGAATTAGTCTATTGACTAGTATATGGGCTAATTCATGTAATAGTCTATTAACTAGCCTAATTACTAGTTTATGGTCTAGAATATTGACTAGCCTACGGATTAGTCTATAGACTTGTATATGGAATAGTATATTGACTAGCCTACGTACTAGTCTATAGACTAGCTTATTGTCTTGTCCATAGACTAGCCTATTGTTTAGTCTATTGACCAGTATATGAACTTGTCTTTTGACTAGTCTATGTACTAGTCTATGAACTAGCCTATGTACTAGTCTATTGGCTAGCCTATGTACTATTATATTGACTGGTCTATGGATTAGTCTATGGACTAGTCTATTGACTAGTCTATGGAATAGTCTATTGACTAGTCTATGGACTAGTTTATGGATTAGTCTATGGACTAGTATATTGACTAGTCTATTGACTAGTCTATGGACTAGCCCATTGACTAGTATATGGACTAGTCTATTTACTAATCTATAAACTAGTCTATGTACTAGTCTATAGGCTAATCTATTTTCTGGTCTATTGATAAGTATATGGACTTGTCCTTTGACTAGCCTATGTACTAGTCTATTGACTATCCTATGTACTAGCCTATTGACTAGCCTATGTACTAGCCTATTGACTAGCCTATGTACTAGTCTATTGACTAGCCTATGTACTAATATATTGACTAGACTATAGATTAGTCTATGGCTTAGTCTATGGACTAGTCTATTGACAAGTGTATTGACTAGTCTATGGAGTAGTCTATTGCCTAGTTTATGGATTAGTTTATGGACTAGTCTATTGACTAGACTACTGAGTGGTATATGGACTAGTTGACTAGTTTATGGACTAGTTTATTGATTAGTATATGGACTAGTCTATTTAATAGTCTATGGACAAGTCTATTGACCAGTCCATAAACTAGTCTGTGAACTCGTCTATTGACCAGTCTATTGATTAGTCTATGGACTAGTCTTTGGCTAGTCTATGGACTATTCTATTGACTCGTCTATGGATTGGTCTATGGACTAGTGTATTGACTAGTCTATTGACTAGTCTATGGACTAGTGTATTGACTAGTCTATGGAGTAGTCTATTGACTAGTCTATGAACTAGTTTATGGATTAGTCTATGGACTAGTCTATTGACTACACTATTGAGTAGTATATGGACTAGTCTATGGACTTGTCCATTGACTAGTCTATTAACCAGTCCATTAACAAGTCTATGAACTAGTCTATTGATTGGTCTACGGACTAGTTTTTTGACTAGTCTATGGACTATTCTTTGACTAGCCTATTTACTACTCTATTGACTATCCTATACACTACTCTATTGACTATCCTATGGACTGCTCGATGGACTATCTTATGGACTACTCTATTGACTAACCTATTGACTAGTCTATTGACTATGGATTAGTCTGTTGACTAGTCTATGGACTAGTCTATTGACTAGCATATGGACTATTGACTAGGCAGTGAACTTGTCTATTGACTAGCCTATGGACTAGTTTATTGACTACGCTATGGACTTTTCTATTGACTAGCCTATGGACTAATCTATGGACTAGCCTATAGTATAGTCTATTAACTGGCCCTTGGTCTAGTCGATGAACTTGTCTATGATCTAGTCGATGCCTATTCTACGATCTTGCCTATGGAATTATCTATGCATTAGCACATGATATATTGATTAGTCTTATTACTAATCTATAGTCAATTCTAAGTGATAGTGTTTTGACTAGCCTGTGGACCAGTTTGTTAATTAATCTGTAGCCGAGGTTATGAACTAGTATATTTACTTGTCTGCTGACTATTCTATGAACTAATCTATGGACAAGCCTAGTAATTTCTATATGGTTTTGACTTGTATACTGAGAATTCCATTAGCTACGGAAATAGTACAATTGTCTATGGTCTAGTCTATTAGTTTATGGTCCAGTCTCCAGTGTGTTGACTTTTCTATGGACTAGTCTAGGTTACCACATATTAGAACATGATCGTGATACCTGCATTCATCAGAGCAACAAAGCAAACTTTTGTTTTCATATGTTCGAGTGTCAGCAAATACTTCCGACAACTGCAATATACAGCATTTTATTAATGTGTCCATCTTGCTCTCTTTATGCTGGCGACTGCTTTAAGGCAAATACATAAATAAAGTTCATAATTTAATTTTAAATATTGTACAATAAAAATTATAATTAAATTTTAATTAATTATATAAATAATTAATTTAATTAATCACAGCACAACAAAACAAATTTTATAAAACTTTTTTCTTTACTTTATTTTAATTGAATGAGTTGTATAAGTATGTATTTTTAAATAAATTGATTTACATTAAATTTCTTTAATTATGCAATGTTTATTTTTCTGCAATACTCATCATATACATAACTGCACTAAATTAAATTCTAAATATTAAATAAAACATACAACACTTTCATATCGTAATATTTAAAACAAATTAAAAAAAGTTTAAAACTTTATCATTAATTAATTTTAGTAAATTTAATAAAAAATGGAAAAATATATAAACAAAAATGCTGAAAAGAAATATACTATTTAAAACTATAAAAAACAACAAAATTTACTCAGATTGTATGCGCAAACGTTAAGCAATGTGATTTTATAATGAAAAAAAAATAATAGAAACAAATACATTTATGGACATTTAATAAAAAAATAACAGAAAAATATTTAAGTTAAAAAAAAAATCTTAAAACTAAAAGGAATTAGTAATTCTGTTATCCAAAAATCGGAAATCTTTTAACCAAACCCTTTTGTATTTTTTCCAGCATCATCATACATATTTACATCTACATAATCATAATTTAAGTTTAAAAAAAAGAAATAATTTTATTAACTATAGTTTGTACTTAATTCTATGTATATTAGTTTATATTTTTACAATATTTTCTAATGATTTCTTTATAAAATATATTCAAAATTTAATTACAAATAATTACAAAATTTATAGATTTTTTTTTTTTTTTTTTTGATTAATTTTTATGTTTTTATAGTATAAAAATAATATTTGTGTATATTTAATATGTTTTCTTAAATTCATCTACTTAGATATGTATGCAGGAAAAATAAATTTGAAAAAAAAAATATCAAAGATAAAAAGCATTTAACAAATATTTACTTAATTTTTTTCAATATAAATAAAATCTTTCGTTTTATTAAATATTTAATTATGCATTTATATTTAAGCAATTATAAGTTTTGAATAAAGAGAATAATTAATTTTAAAACTAATTATATAAAGTGTTTTCTTTTTTTTGGCAGTAACAAACCTTAAGTATCCAGCACCAAGAGGGGCTTTCTAAGACGAACAAACTGACACTCCTAGCCAGTACAAAAAGCATTTTCTTAACCAATAAGGGACTCAGAATCTGTTTCAGAATCGATTAGAACATGTCCGTCAGTCGGTCTGTCCGGCTGGCTGGCTGTCCACGTAACCTTGTGGGCAATATACAGGCAACTTTCAAAATATTTTTATAAAACTTGCCCTAAATGTGTTTTTCGACACAGGGACGAAGCCTATTGGAAATGGTTTAAACCGGTCCATTATTTCACCTTACCCCCATAAAACCGGACCTCTCGATTTGGGCTTTTTATGCCATAATAAGGTCAAATAAACTATTATCTCTCTCTAAAAATCGGAACAACTAAGTTTTATATAAGCATCAATAACGCTGCCGAATTTTTATCTTAACCTCCATACAAACCCCCTTTAAAAAAATGTCTTAAATGACCAAAATTGACTTACAACCACTGTTATACATATAACAAGTAAGAGTGTTATATTCGGCTGTGCCGAATCTCATATACCCACCATCAAACCGTATGCCGTAAAAGGAATGCTCCCATATAAACATCAGGGTGATGTTTGGAATATGGCTTAAGACAATTATGGACCGAGCTCTTTTGAACTAACAAAATATTAATTTTTAATATTTTGTACTGTACTTGTAATTATCAGAGTTTTCTTCATCAAATTTTCTAAAGAGGATCTCATATGTGGTGTATGGTCAATTGTTGACATATCCTCATAACTTTTTGTAGACTGATTTTGGTTCATATAAAACTTGTTTACATTCGCTGTTCTCGCATTTTCATGCCAGCAATTAGCGTTCATGTAATTTTATA